GACCTTATTTTTTATCTATATCAATAATCATTTGATCTGTATAGTGTTTCTCTATGCATGCAGGGTGCTTTATGGGATAATGTGGAATATGGAAACTTGGTTAACAAAGTAAAAACAAGAGACCACCAAATTGATCATTCTAGAACTCAGAGAGAAATAACGAGAAACACTTTTTTTAGACTGCGTGAACACAGAAAACTGCTTCAGGCTAACAAAAAGGGTCATGGAAATGGGCCAATCGTTGTACTGCAAAATATATATATAATATATATTTGTGTGTGTGTGTATGTGTATGTATGTACAGTTATGGGGAAAAAGTACACCAAAGTCAAGTGAATCATTTGCTAAGCAGTAGGAGAAAAAAAAAAAAAGTTTTTTTTTTATATAGACAGAAAATGTGTGTTCTATATGGGTATATGTATGTTAATCCACATACACATGTACACTCTGAGAAATGTGAATATGATAAAATGTCTGTAAACAGATTTCCAGGGATAGGAGCAGTATAATTTAACGTGACCTAGATTTTATGATAATGAATCCTATTTGTTTGTTGCCATTTCTCTATGTGTAGGAGCTCTGCATTTTGCTTTTGGCAACACATTTACTGGGTGATGAGATGAGCCTCTTGAATTGGTTGGGATTTGCAGTCTGTATCTCAGGAATTGCTCTTCACGTTGCTCTGAAGACCATCCACGGCAAAGGTAATCTACATGCTAGCAGATTTAAATACACCATGAAAGAGAGTATAGCGCTTCTTTTTTTCGGAAAGGGATTTTGCAATGCCATTTAAAAAAATAAATAAATAAATAAATCACTAAGAGGGACACTTTATGCACCATAACGTTTACAGCTTATTGGCATGATTATGATTCACACGATCTTTGTGTGATGTCTGATTTTCCTCTCTAGTCGGTCCTCTCACCTCACCAATCTGTCAGTCCTTACATTGGCTCCCTGTATCCTATGGGAGTAAATTCAAAGTGCTAACCCATACATATAAAGCACTGAACAATTCTAGCCCCTCTTAGATCTCTTCACAGATCCGTAGGTATGCCCCTTCTCGGTCCCTCTGCTCTGCCCGTGACCTTCTCCTGTCCACTGCTCGCACCTATACAGCCAACTTGCATTTGCAGGACTTCTCGCGGGTGGCTCCCTTCCTATGGAATAGCCTGCAGACTCTCCCCTAGTCTTTAATCGTTTAAGAAGTACCTTAAAACCCATCTCTTTAGGAAATCTTATGGCCTCCCAGAGTAACCTCTACCTGTCTCTTGCTCTCTCCTAAAGGGCAGCACTCTACTCTCTCCTCCAGCTCTGCTTCACTCCCACCTTATGTGATTGCCATTTCCTGTCCTAATGTGTCTTATACCCCACCACCTATAGACTGTAAGCTCGTTTGAGCAGGGTCCTCTTCAACATATCGTGCCTGTAAGTTTTCTTGAAATTGTCCTATTTATAGTTAAATCCCCCCTCTCATAATATTGTAAAGTGCTATGGAATCTGTTGGTGCTATATAAATGGAGATACTAATAATGTCTGCCTTCCCTTTTTCAAACACTTCAATAGAAACTAGGCAACAAATGCCCAGCTCTTTGTCTGCACTTTAGAGAATATGAAACTTTGAGTCCCAGATTATCTACAAACCTGTTCAAACTGGGGGAGCAATGATGGGCTAAACCAAGCTTTGGACAAATAACTTTTTTTTTTTCATGCACACGTTTTGATGAGGGGGTGATAGAAACACCCCAAAGTATCTTTGAACCATAGCCATTTCAATAAACTATAGTTATGTTGCGGAGTGTTAATTTTTTTTAAAATCTATTTTACAGCAGAGTAATACATAAACAGTGATTTGATATTCCCTCTGTTCTTGTTTCTCTTGCCTCCACAGGAGCAGATACTCATAAATGGCACAGAACAGAGCTAAGTGCAGATATGGAACTGTTGTTGATGGGACGAGAGGATGAAGAAGACGAGGATTCCTAATAGCTGAACTAGATGGGAACGAACGTTTGTAATAAGAAGCAATCACCCACTTACTGTGAGGCAAAAGACAGATTCAGAGAGCTGGACTCTCTCTGGTCTCCCAAGTCCAAAGGGTTTATAGAACACGTGGAGAAGATGCCAATTCCTTCTACAAGTTACCTTATGCTGTACAGTCAGGGGAAGTATTTGCATCACCAGAAGTGCATGATACAGATAGCCGACATGAGACAGTCTTAAGCTGACGTTATCCTGTATCATTTTCCTGGAAGCTAGTTGCAAATATGTATTTTAGTTATAATACATTCCTGATGTTGATACTATGGCAGTTCTGGAACTGTCTGTCATTTTTAGAAGTGGAAGGAGATTCAAAGAAATGGTACAATAAAATTATTTAGGCCTATTTCAGAACTACAGAAATTTATATAATTTTTTGTTTTAGATGTCTACTTGAGTAATGATTTTTTATTTTTTTTGTGCACCTATATTAGAACTTGTCACCCATTTCCCCATGAGGAATCTGTGCCTAAACCATAACAATCCAATTAGGAGCACCAAACGCAGAACATCTCATCTGATTTTTAAATTTATACATAAACTCCATATGACCTGTTCACATCTATTTTTTTTAAAATCTTTTATTATCCTAAATGGAACATGGAGCCGCTATTACTAATGATCACTTGTTCAGGTGGTGGAGGGTATTTATTGCAGAAAAATATATTTATGAAAAATCAAATAATCAAAAAACATTATTATTTGTGGTGACAAGGGATTGAAAATACTTTGAATTACACTTAAAGGATCACTATAGGCACCCAGACCACTTCAGTTTAATGAAGTGGTCTGGATGCCAGGTCCATCTAGGATTAACCCTGCCTGCTGTAAACATCGCAGTTTCAGAGAAATTGCTATGTTTACACATGGCTTAATCCAGCTTCTAGTAGCTGTCTCATTGACAGCTGCTAGAGGCGCTTCTCACTGTGATTTTTCACAGTGAAAGGATGCCAGCGTACATAGGAAAGCATTGAAACTGCTTTCCTATGGACTGACTGAATGCGCATTTGGCTGATGACGTCCAAAGGAGGAGGAGAGTTCCCAACGCCGAGGGAGTCTGGCGCTGGAGAAAGGTAAGATTATAATCCCTTCCTACCCCTTCAGCCCGGCAGGAGGGGGGCCCTGAGGGTGGAGGGGACCTATTAATACTATAGTGCCAGGAAACCGAGTTTGTTTTCCTGGCACTATAGTGGTCCTTAAACTTACAAATGAAGTAAAAGAAACAGAATGATTGCATATTTCTTGTGTACATTAAACAAGGAATATGCATTTAAAAAAAAAAAACAAAAAACAATCAAAATATTTGAACCATTTACATAACACTCTAGAAATGCTTGAAAGGTTAGAAAACTAAAAAATCCACAATCAATTTAAAGAGGCATATTGGAAAAAGAAAAGGAAATGAACACCGAAATTAAAGGAAGATGAGCAAAATAATAAATACACCTAAGGTTCAAGAGTTCAGAAAGGCATGATGCTTGTAAATGTTGCCCCCTGTACCTGCTTCAGTGTTTATAGCACAGGGAGTGGAATGCATTGACACTTATAGACGGCAGTAGTTCTACTTCGTGTCTAAGAAAGTCAGGCATAGGATAAATACATTAGACAAAGTAGCCTCATGATGAATAGATTGGAGAGAAAAAAAAAAAAAAAAGACAGTAGGAAAGAGGAAGCGATTGGGAAAAGATAAGTACGGCATGACAGTGCCACTTTCCAGCTTTTGAACCCCTGCTGATTTTAACACCGTTAGAGATTTTTACAATGCAGAGACACTGAACAATCCATTTAGAGTTTGGGTATTTTAACAATATTTCTCTTTTTGGGCAGTTCTAACTCCTTATTGCCAAATATTAAAGTACCATTAGTACTTTAGTACTCCCCTTTATCATCTTGGTACACAATTCCAAGCTGATAATAGGGAGTGTAAGGAATTATTATATGTCAACTCCATGGTGATATCATGATACTATGGGGCTTTGGCTGAAAACTTTCACTCCTCTATCTATTGGAGTTTGAAAAGTTTGCCCTGGCAAGTAGAAAAGCACCCCTGGTGAGTGTGCCATGTACCCTTCACGCTTGTAATGGTAAGGAGAAATCAAGGCCTGCTAGTAGTGTTGATATGTTAAAATGGACACTATAGTCACCAGAACAACTACAGCTTAATGGATCATCAATGGCCAGTCCCTGTAGGCTTTTTTTTTTTTTGCCTTTTGTCTTTTCATAGAAAAGGGACACTAGTAACTATAACTATTTCATCTCTTGGAATTGGTTATAGTATCTGGAGTCCCCTAGCAATGTCCTTGCTTTCTGTGTTAAACCACTTTAGAGCTGTTTAACACTAAATAGGTATCCCTGGCTACCCGCCGTCCGGCCCCTTCTGGTGGTGTGGCTAAGGCAGAGATCACACACGTCTTGTAGTCATACCCATTCATACGGTCTGTCAGAGTTCTGATAGGCTAAATGCAGTCAGCTGACACTCTATGCCAATCACAGCTGCCCATTGCTGCTTCGGCTAATACTTCCTCATAGCCAGCGCATCACAGAGGGGATGGACTGCTGGGGATTCTCATTTAGCATTAAACAATAAAAACATTATACACTGTTTAATGCTGAATTAAATCAGGGTACCTGGGGACTCCAGACACTATAACCAGTTTAATGAGAGGAAGCACATGGTACCTACAGTGTCCTTTTAAAGAATTCCACAGCCAATTTAAAAAAAAGCTACAATCTGAGCATTCAAATAAATTGAGCATTTTATTTATGTCATGTTGATAGCCACAAACTAAAATACACCAAGCCAAAGAGAATAAGAAGCAATTAAAATGCATATACACACACTCTCTCTTTCTAAAAGGTGCATATCTGTGCAAATAGGACGGGCTATACGCACAGAGTATTTTACTACAGGACAGTCATCAGCATCTATGCTTTTTAATTCAGTGACCAGAACTTGTTTATATATTTGTTTATAGGTCCTCGACCATCAGAATCCGATGTTGACCGCTTATTCTCAAGATGATCCCACCAAGTGTATTCTAGATTCTACTAACTCACTGTGGGCAAAGAAAAGAGGAATATCAGAAGCATGATTTCATCAAAGAAATAGTACAGGTTGATCTATAGCCTTAACCTTGTCTAACCTGGTATTCTACAAGAACGTTGACCACAGGTGTCTGGGCAACATATTTTGCCATCATTACATTGTGTGTCATCTTCACAAGGTACACCACATATACCTAGAGCGCCTTCCTTCACCTTAGGACAGTAATCCATGGTTTCTTAGTAAATGTTGGTGGAGTGCATCCAGAAGGAGGAGAAAAAATAATTTATTTTTAAATTAAAATTATACAACACAAGGGTCTTCAGATAAATCATTGGAAAACAACCTCTAACCTATGCAATATGTACAATATAAAACCCAAACTTTAAAAAAAACAAACATACTTCCTAGTTTTAAAAACATAATAAATGTCTTATAAAAATATCCACTTCAGGCTATTTCACAAGCAAGTAACAATCAATCCAGAGGCCGATTCGGTATGTAGCTAGATCATGGGCCAGCAGCCGCCCATCAGAATGTAGATATAGAAAAAGAAGATCCAGGCTTAAGGGCACGTTTATTGGAACCAGCAGAATAACACAACAAAATTTCGACCCTAAATTGGGTCTTTGTCAACCTTTGTAGCTCCCCAAGCTACATTATGCTGGTACAACTTAACACAAAACGTGAGATTCCATCTTATTTTTGTTTGATGTCAATTAATAGATTTCCCCTCTCATTTTTTGCATAGTTACACTCCTTATGACAACTACAAGGAATGTTGAGAAACTTACCCACTATCTCTTGAAATTAAGCTTAATTCTCTATTCCCATATAGAGCATATTTTGAGCAGTTTCCCTTTCATATTGAGTTTAGCTTAGATTTTAAAAAATTATTATTTTGTGTTGCGATTGAGTATAATTGTTCTCAGAACATTTTTTAATATACCATCATTCTATCTCTGCGGTTTTAAAATGTCATCAAATTAAATCCACATAACCTTTCTAAACAGCACCACTTTACATCTGTGGTGGAGAATTCTTCCACCGCCACCCAAAATGTAGCTGTAGTGTATAATTGATGCCTATATAACTCAAAATCATTAGATTCTACTGCACATAGTTTCATTTTGTAACTCTGATGAGTGAACGTACCTTTTGTACTCAGATGATCTTCTACTGAAGAGGATATACTTTCTTCCTTTAAAATATCTACAGATGTATCATCCCAAGTAATGGAAACTGATTCAGCTATAGGGCAGAATATGCAACATTAGTGTTCAGCAACTAAACATGTAGACAGACTTTATAAAAGGGATTGGACCATATACATCAGCATGCAATGTCATCTTAAAGGAACAGTATAGCAGAGTTTTACTGCTATTTCATCGTTATTGCCTTGAGTGGCTCTCTTAGGGACACTAGAGGCATTTAAACCCTACAATGAAAACATTGCTACTGCACAATGGCATTGTTGTCACTTGCAGTGATAAAATGGAGTGGCCACAAAGATCACATCATTGAGAGGAAGTGTTCTGGGTGCCTATAGTGTCCCTTTAAAATAAACAATTTTTACATGAACACTTAAGTGTTAGGAATATATCCCTAACACTGAAGCGTCCCCCTGCCCACACAGCTCCCCCCCAGCCTTCCCCCATGGATAAATTCTCCACTGATATCAGCTGGTGAACGGACCTATGCCTTCCCCATAGGAAAACATTGAATCAATGTGGTTTCGCTTGACGTGGAATGTCCTCATGCAAAGTGTGAGAATGTCCAGTATCGTTTCACAAAGTCTTACTTGTGAAATTGCAGGAAGCTCCTCTCGTAGCTGTCTGGAGATGCAGTCTTAGCGCTGCAAAGTAATTCTCGATTTAGTCCTTTTAGATAAACTTTTTAAATTATCACAATCTGTTATCAAATGATTTATCTACATGTCCCCTTTAAGTCTATGGGAATTTTTGTAGATAAATCATTTGAAAAGTATTTCAGATTGTGATCATTTAAAAAGTTTATCTAAACGATTTAAATTAAGGTCATGGTTTTTAATATTTAAAAATAAATATACTTATATGCATACTATTAGAAGGCTTATTATCTATTGCATATATACACTGATCAGCCATAACCACTGACATGTGAAGTGAATAACATTGATTAAATTTTTACAATGGCACCTATCCATGGGCAGCAATTGAACAGTCAGTTCTTGAATTTCATGTGCTGGAAGCAGAAAAAATGAGCAAGCAAAAAGATCTGTGTGACTATAACAATGGTCAAATAGTGATGGCTAGATGACTGAGTCAAAGTACCTCCAAAAATGCAAGTCTTGTGGGGTGTTTACAGTATGCAGTGGTTAGTACCTACCAAAGTGGTGCAGGGAAGGACAACTGGTGATCTGGCAACAGGGTCATGGATGCCCAAGACTCGATGCATGTGGTGAGTCAAGGCTAGCTGTCTGCTCTGATCACACAAAAAAGCTATACCAGTTCAACTTGCTAAAACGTAAAGTTGGCAATGATAGAAAGGTGTGAACACACAGTGCATCGCAGTTTGCCTTCAATGGGCATGTGAGCATCACAACTGGACCATGGAGCAATGGAAGAAGGTTGCCTGGTCTGACGAATTACGGTTTCTGTTATATGAGATGGATTGTTGGGTGTGTGTATGTAGTTTGCCTGGGGAAAAGATGGGAGCAGGATGCACTATAAAAAACAAAAAAGGCAGGCGGAGGCAGTGTTATATTCTGAGCAATGTTCTGCTTGGAAACCTTAGGTCCTGGCATTCCGGTGGATGTTACCTTGACACGTACCACCTACCTAGGTAAATGCAGACCATATACATCCCTTCTTGGCAATGGCGTTCTCAGTGGCCTCTTTCAGCAGGGTAATTCATCCTGCCACACTGCAAAAATTGTTCATGAATGGTTTGAGGAGCATGACTAAGAGTTCAAGGTGCCTTTGCCTCCAAAGTCTCCAGATCTCAATCCGATTGAGCATAACAATATAATATATGTTTGGCTTTCTACCAGAAGTGCAAATTCTCTTAACATGAATATTGTAATTTTGGAACTGTGAATTATACTTACTGGTTGTTGCAAGTGTATCTTGTGAAAAGTAAGTAGTATTTTCTTCTTTTGAATCATTTACAGATATATTTTCCTTATTCAATGGAATTGGATCAGCTGTAGTGTTAGAGGATACACCGTAAATTGATTTTTTTCTCTAAATTAAGGACCTTAACATTTATACAAGTTCACTTCAATATCAAAACAGTGACCTTTCTCCCAGTGCTATACTTATTGGTTGCTGCAAGTCTATCTTGTGAAGAGTAAGAGAAAGTTCTGCTTTTTAAAGGGGCAATATAGTCACCATAACAACTACAGCTTATTGGATTTGCTCTTGTGAGTATAATATATATATTTTTTGCAGTAAATACTGTCTCCACTGGCCACTCCTCAGATGGGGGACCAGGGGGCTAGATGGTGTTTTTAACATGTTTGTGTTCCTGAACATATAGTGTTCCTTTAAACATACATGGATGTATTTTCTTCACTCAATGGAATAATTTTACCTGTAGTGTTAGAGAATACTTTTGACTGAGTACCATATATATAGCTTGCCTTCTATTTCCTTATGAAATTTCCTATGACCTTAAAGGAACACTCTAATGTTATAAATACTATAGTATGGTGTTTAGTATGTTTTTTTTTTTTTTTTTTTATAAATCTTTATTTTTTCAGTGCAATAAAGAATACAAGTGCTTGGTATGGCCACAACACCCGTGTCAAAATATTTAACATTCAAATATGTTATATGTCCATACATGTTATAAGGTCAGGTTGCACCCTTTTATATATAGGTAAGGTCAGATAGGTTTTAACAAGTTGTAGTAGATTGTCATTAAGGGTTTATAACCCTCCGAGGTCATCTGCAGCGCTGTCGGGGTCAGGTTTTGTCAAAGCTAGGTGGACATGGGTGCGTTCTGGGTCACCCTTGGTGGTTACACCTGGCGTCCCCGTAATAGCCGTTTGGGGTTGGACCTACGCGGTTTTGAGAGCAGTTGGCCCTCTGTGTCTAGGAGTGAGTCGCTGAGGTTTGCGCTGCTTTATGTCCTGTTAGTAGGTGCAAGGTGTGTGTGGGCTGGGTGATATGCTATTGTCTGTGACATTTGTTATGTGTGAGGCACAGCTAGTCTATATAGTCTGGAGGAAGTGGGGCCTGTGTGAGCGGTTGTGGTCTGACTATGTGATCTGCAGGTTGCAGAGGCGTGTGTGGACAGACCAGTAGTGGGCTCATGTAGGGAGGCTCCATGGAGTGTAGTGCCCCTGTACCTTGGGGCCAAGGGGGAGGGGGGTGCAATATCATGCACCGGAGAACAGAGACCCAATCTCTGGGTTTAACAATAATTTCCTAATGGCCTGGTGGGTGAGGTAAGGCAATTATCTCGCATGAAATATGCCCAGCTGTCGGTATGTAAAGGCTAATTAAAAGTAAATCAGTAACATAGCATAAAGTGGCCCAGAGTTAAAACTGAACTTTGTGGCTGTAGTCTTGTGGTCAGGTCGCGTTGCCTCGTTTCCCTCTGAGTGTGGGGACGTCTTTGTCCTCCATGGGTGTTGTTCGAGGGCGGGTGGCGGCGGCTTCAGGTTGGTCAGCTAGGCCCAATGTGGCTAGCAGGGCCGGGCCCTCCTTGGGATCTGAGGCTTTATAGGTGTGTCCTTCCTTAGGAGGGTTTTTGGCGTTGCCCATCTATAGGTGATCCCTGCGTCTCGCAGCTGTGTGGTGAGTGGCTGCATTGATTTGCGCCATAAGAGTGTGTCTCTGCTTAGATTTTGAAAAAGGGATATTTGGCTTGTTTCAAAGTCAAAATGGGGTTTCCCTAGCTTGTCTGTCATCGAGCAGCAGCGGAGGATGAAATCGCATGGTGCCAAAGTGGGTGCCTGTGGTGACTTGGCAATCCTGTATGCCCCGTCGAATAGAAATTGCTTGGCTTGTTTCGCCAGCAGGACGGAGCCCACTAGGCGCCTGATGTAATGAGGCATTTCTTCTAAGGGAAGCGTCTCAGGGATCCCCCTACTTTTTATGTTTTTCCTCCTGCCCCTGTCATCCATTATGTTAAGCTGTCTGGCCATTGTGGCCTGTGTGGTTTGGATTTGTTGGACTTGGGCACTCAGGGTACGGTAGTCTTGTGTCAGGCCTGCGAGGCCTGTCTCATTAGCTTGGGTGCGCGCTGCCACTGCTTGTACTGTGGTGGTTAAAGCTGCTAAGTCTGCCCTCCACATCTGTTCCAGGTTACTCTGCAGGCCTGCTAGCATGCTTTATATGTCTCTTTAAGAGGGCGCGCCGTGATCCCCTGCCGTGCCTGTTGGTGTAGGGTGTGGGCTTGAGGGTGAGCTGTCTAAATGAGTCTCATCGTCCGAGGACGCTGGGTAGGCTGGCCGTGGTGGTAGGGCCTGTTGTGAGGGGGGAGTTGACAGCATATAGCTAATGTCCCGTTGCTGTTTCGGGGTTTGTATAGGCATTTTCTGTGTCTTGCGCCCCATCTCACCTTCCTCTCGGAGGCCCATGTATTCCTCTGGATCGTCCGGTAAGGTCTCTAGGCAGGCTGCCCACACGGTAGGCCTTAGCGCCTCGGGTTCGGGTTTTTGCGCCCGGTGTGGCAAAAAAGGGTATCTGCGGGTTCGGCAGTTGATGCTGCAGCTTTTCCCTTTGTTTCCAGCCCATGTCTGTGCAGGATGCTCTTGGATTTTGACAGATTGGGTTTCTCTATGTCGGAGCTCAGATCAATGGCGTCCGCTCCGGTGCGGTGACAAGCCCTGCCCCTCGTGTTTAGTATGTTAACATGTTCCTGGCAACTTTAAATTATTGGGCTACCCTTCAAGAAGTAAAATATCAACTGGAACTTACTTCTCACCCAGAGGTGTCCGAGTCTGGCAGTGGCCACCACTATACCTTACTCTAAGATAATCGCTTGGATGATCTCAGGCTAATCCAATGCTTCACTACAGAGAAGCATTAAGAGCCCTACTACCCATGGGTGGAAATTGCAGCGCTGCGCTAACAGTATTCTAACACTTCTCCATGGAAAGAATTAGTTCAGCGACATCATAATGTCGAACATGAAGACTAAATTTTATTTCCTAGAAATGGTAATGCTTATATTTTCATTAAGATGTAGTTGGTTTGGTGCAGAGAGTTACCTTTAAGATTAATATAAATCCACTTCAGTAGTGGCAGGAGCTGCATCAGTTCTCTCGCGCATGTGCAAAGAGTTGCGGGAGCCTCCATAAATTAAATCTCTTAATGACCACTTGTGATGGCTGCTTGGACAATAGTTGATGTTGGAGCTTTGCTTTTGTGTTCCTTTAGTGGTTCTATAAAGGTTTGTACTAAATATTTAGATTATTTGGCATCTTCAGAACTATTAAAAAATAACTTTCTACCTTTACTGTACTGGCATGCTAGTCTCTGTGCAGCCATTCCGCTTCCTTGGCATCAGATCATACTGATGTTCTCAGCCAGCCCAATTACTCTTATAGGGTAGTATGTGGAGGCTAGTGCGCATGTAAGACAAATCACATCTCTATGTGGAGCATTTGGTGTCTCATGCAGAGCTCTGCCGAAGATGGAAGTCAATCCCGCTAGCCATTCATTGGCTGAGAGTGTCAGCTGACTGCTGTCAGCTAATAAATGCAATAATATTTCCAGGCTCACTAATGGTACCATTTTGACATTGCTAGAGTTATACTTTCAGCAGCAAAGGGCTTAATTTCAATATGTGCAGTGTTACACATACAGACTACAGGCACCATGACCACTTCAAATCAACGAAGTGCTCATGGTGCTTGGAGTAAACCATTAACTGAACCAAGCAGGCAGGTTTAGGCAAAAAAATATATGGTATGCTATTAGAAATGTAAAGAGTAGGTCATAGAGAGGCATCACTATTTTTGCAATGCAATGAGACACTCCCACTCGCTTAGCCAATGAGCTAAGCCTGCATTGCATGGCTTCGCTCAGGAGAGCTAATGGACATTCTTATTCAAGCTCTCTGATGATAGTAGTGGAGGCAGAAAGCGATGCTCAGCAGACTCCAGGTAACTAGTCAAACTATTTGAAAAAGGTTTGACTCCTTACCAATGGTGGTAGCAAAAGCACTCCTGGCTCCACTACTAGAGCGATCTTTAGTGGTTATGGTGGCTGGAGTGTTACTTTAACCCCTTAAGGACACATGACATATGTGATGTGATGTGATATTGTGATATTTTCTTTGCCTAATGATTCATGATTCCCTTTTATTCCAGAAGTTTGGTCCTTAAGGGGTTAAACTGAGATCTGTGATTGTAGATATGATC